GGCTCGGGGGGGGCCACACCCCCCGTGTGCCCTCCAGCAGCCAGCACCCAGCTGGGGCCAGCACTGACCTCGAGCCCCGCACCTCGGGTAACCTGCATGAAGATGCCCCCGCCTGCCGCGTAGCCCCCCATGCCGAACGGCTCACTGACCCTGCTTCAGCCTTTTTCGGCCTGACCTTCTCCTTGCCGGGTCCAAAGGTTCTCTGTGAGTGCAAGCTGACTGAGGGCACACTCAGTCCCCTCGCCAGGTCGTTGATAAAGATATTAAACAAGACTGGCCCGAGAACTGAGCCCTGGAGGATACCAGTGCTTTCTAAAGTCTACCATGCGACTTCATCTTTCAACAAATTAACCACTGTGAATAAACAGCAACCAGCACTTGTCTCGTACACCCAGCTCACGGGCCATCCACGCTCGTGGGTCCCCCCCAAATGCCGCCAGGGACCCTCTCCCCACGTGGTGCCCGGGCCCAGCGCCTCCCTACGCCCTGGTCAGTCCGGCTGAGGACACGCCAGCGAATGCCACGTGTGCTCTCCCGCACGCCGAGGTGTGCGGTGTGTTGGTGGGCGGGGGGGGGGGGGGGGGCGGGGTTTGGTATTCAGAAAGCTAAAACCAACAAGCATTTAAAAAGAAAAAAACCTGTTAAATAGAACATGAGGAAACCAGTCAAGAGGAAAAGAAACAAGGCCTGAGACTGACCACTACAGTGTCTTATTCTGAAGCTGTGACTGATGTGATCTGATGACAGCTTATAGAAAAAGCTAAGTCCCGTGAGTATCGGACACTGCCGAGCAGAACACCGCATTTCTAACACTTGTCTTCTCCCCTCGGAATTAGCTGTAAGCAAGCAGCAGTGCTGAGTCTATTGGGTTGCTTCCCCCACCACACAGTTCTAACGAACCCAGGAAAGCACCTAATTTTTCTTCATTAGAATGAGTGCCGTGGGAATCACACAGCGCCACGGCAAGGGCTAGAACCAGACACACTTCCAAGATCACGCATCTGGGTATCTCCGGCATCCAGCTAAAACAGACTGGAACTTACTTTCAAGCACCACACACGCGAGTTCTTAGGCTGAAATACTACAGAAGGCAAATGCTCGAGGAAGCCCATCAGTCAGTCCTGAGCCACGGCTTTGCTCAGGGCGCCGTGCTTTCACGTTGGTCGATTCCAAGGAACAAGACGGGCTGTTACCACAAGTGTGCAGGTTTCAGCCAGTCCCACTGGGGACAGGGTCCCATCCCATCTCATTTCAGTGAAGGGGAGGTCTAAATTAGATTGAAATATAGCAAAAGAAGTTGTTTCTATATCAGTAAATCTTAAAAATATAAAAGAAATGGGATGACTCCAGTGCGTTTCTAGTGCAGCATCTGGCCCTCGGGCGCTGGGGAAGGCAGTGCTGAACAGAGCTACTGCCGAACATGGGAGCGGGGCTGCGACTCCGCAAACAAACCCGCTGAAAAAGAAAACACCGAGAAGAAAGCAGATACTGCAAGGTGGCTCTGCAAAAACCAGCTCTGCCCAGCAGGGCCGGTGCCGAAGCCACAGGATCCAGAGCTGGCCCTTCGGCCAGGTGCCCACCCCCTCCGACCTCCGCAGCATCGCGGCACCAGCAACTCGGGCAGCGGGAACGCTCGGGCACGGCCGGACTTCCCTCCCCACAGCTCCAGCTAACAGAAGCAATCTGCGGAGAGCAAGCCTCTCCAAAATTTCCGGTTATTATCCTGGGCGAGCTTGGTAAATGACATCAAGGTGAAGTCAATATTTACTGCAACTTCTCTCCAACCAGGTTTCTTTTCAAAATACTGCTAAAATGACATTTCCACGAGGATTTCACTTCCCTCCCATAAAACACCTGATCCTTACAAGACTGCTAAACAAAACTTGCAAAACCTACAGAATTGTCCTTGACCAGGAACACCCCTCGTAGCCCGACGGCATCACGGTGACGAGCACGGTCCTTCTGCAGAGCAGCCACTATGGAACTGCCACCGGAGAGGGAGCACTCTACAGTGAATTAAGTAATCGCTTTTTTTATGCTAGGAACATACTCTGACACTTTGAACTTAAGACTTTGTAAGCTCCCAGACCTTTTCATGAGGAGTGTTGTTAAAGAACAGGTCAAGGTTGCAATAATTAAGGCTGGGGTTTCTTTGTTCGGTTTTTACAGTTTAGTTGTGATATTCCTCTTGTACCCTGGTGCCGTGCCATCCTTAAACTGCCCTTGGTGATCACAAGCGAAGACTCATCCTCTTGAACTCTGGCACTACCTGCAAAACTTCTTCAGGAAACTCCAAACTTCTTTCTGGGCAGAGACGCAGGAGACCAAGGGCACCATCTCCAGAGTGGGAACATACACGAGACTGGGAGCCCTCTAACCAAGAGAACTCACCGCCTAACTGCAAATGCCGTGCCCCTATTTCAGAAAGGAACTGCTACTACAACCCAAGTAAAACATTCAACTACTCTGGCCATGAAAAAGTAATTAGAGAGAGAGAGAGAGAGAGAACACCTGCTCTCAGATGTTGATTTAGCTAGAAACCACAAAACCCAAACAAACACAAACCAAAGCCAAACAAACACAAACCAAAGCCAAACAAACACAAACCAAAGCCAAACAAACACAAACCACCAGGATTAACCAGCCCAGTTCTAGAAAGACTCCCAGAAAGAACAAGAGAAACCCAAGAAATGAAGAAGCAAGGCTGAGGACTTCAGAACGCCTCAGAACGCGCCTCCAGAGCAGACCTTGCTCTCGCACCGCCACCGGGCACGGTGCTGCCAATGCCATCACCCAGCAGCTTCGGGAGCCGGCGTGCGCCGCAGCCCCCAGCTCCAGGCCCAGGCTGCTGAGCTCTTCCGCAGGCGATTATGGTGGGGTGACCGAAACACGCAGCTCCTCAGGAAGCACGGCTTGCACCTGCAGCAGTGCTGGCTGAGCTCCCACCCCGGCTCCCCAGCGGCTGAACTTTCCTGCTTAACATGCTCAGGCGAGCCAGCGGTTTGGTTCACTCAATGCACCTGGTTGCAAACCACAGCATTTTGGCTGGGGCGCTGCAAGCTCTTCAGCTGGCACCAGCACAGGGGAAGGACCGCTGCAAGACAGGTGGGACAGGGAGCCCAGGTTAGCACTCCGTCAACCCCATCACCACAAACTGCATGCCAACTGCCTTGGGGAAGGCCTGTCCCACCCCCCCACTGCAGCCAACATGTCACCTTCAGAGCTTCCAGCGCCCCAACACCACAACCCCGGCTTCTGGATCAGCTCCTCTCTCTGTTACAGCTGGGACTTAACCCACAGCCACCTTACAGCACCCAACATGTAACAGAAACAGGGGTATGGAAACCCCCCGCCGCTGACCATATCAGTAATGGCCCAGTTATGAGGGTGCTGGGACAGGATTCTGTAACTCGTACTTGGAGCCTGCATCACCTCAGGGCTCTTGCACGACCTCCAGCAAACCTCTTCTCCCTGTGCTTGGTAGGACATGGTCACAGAGACACGTATGCAACGAGACGGAATTCAACAGGGTGTCAAGCAAAACCAAACCAACTGTTACTACCAGCAAAACGCAGTCTCCTGTTTCTAACCTCCACAGCTGCCAGGCATACTAACCACCATGCAGTACCACCAGGGCTCCTCAAACACCATGGACAGACACAGCCACACCAGGTCTCAGTAAGTTACAATAACGTGTGCCTGGCATTGAGATATAGGTCAATACCTCCAGAACGATGCTGGTCTCCAACTCGTGATTATTGAGATTATTAAGACACCTCATCCCATGCCTGTCTGTCACCTGCTCTCTCAAGTAACACAACACAAGTTCCCAAGGTCAAGACATCCAGGAAAAACTAAACAGGCTACAAGGTAAAACACAGACTAGCTGAGACTTCTTGGGGAGCAGACAGTAAAAGCATTGAGCAAACTAGTGAAGAAATCAAAGAACGGGAAAAGAAGGAAAGAAGAAGATCCACAATCAAGAATAGAACTACAGTAGCAAAAGAAAATACACAAAAGGTATCCCAGGGAACAGACACAGAATGTCAAAGCAGTCGTACAAGCACTGAAGGAACTTTGCACCCTGAAGCCCCATCTAAAGGCAAGTGTTCTAGATGAGATGGCATCTTCGCAAGATCAAACTGGTATGGACATGGAAGACTTATTAGACAACAACATGAAGATCAGTAAAACTGAGGAAAACTTGCAGAAGAACAAAATA